ACGCTCATTCCTTTCTAGGTGCTCCACCACTCTTCTCCTGATCTTCTCCATGACTTTGCATACTATACATGTTAGTGACACTGGTCTGTTGTTTAGTGCTTCGTATCTGTCTCCTTTCTTAAAAATTGGAACTACATTTGCTGTTGTTAATACCTCAAGTAGTCTCCCTGTTTCGATAGATGTGTTGAAGATTGTTGTTAGTGGCACACATAGCGCCTCTGCTGCCTCTCTCAGGACCTATGGAGAAACGTTATCCGGCCCCATCGCCTTTGAGGTATCTAGCTCACTTAGCAGCCTCTTCACTTTTTCCTCTGTTGTATGTACTGTGTCCAACACTTGATGGTGTGCCCCATCTCTCCATCTTTCCGGAGTCCCTTCAGTCTCCTCTGTGAACACTTCTTTGAATCTCATGTTGGGCTCCTCACATACTTCTCAGTCGTTTCTTGTGATCTTCCCTCCTTCCTTCCTCAGCCTGATTACCTGGTCCTTGACTGTTGTTTTCCTCCTGATGTGGTTGTACAACAGCTTCGGGTCAGATTTGGCTTTCGCTGCTATATCATTTTCATTTAGTCGTTGGGCCTCCCTTCTTACCTGTGCATAGTCATTTCTAGCTTTACGACTGCTCTCCTTATTCTTCATGCCTCTGTAGTCCCTTCTCTTGTAGTTTGACTTCGTTCGTCTTACCCTTCCTGCTTCCCTTTCCACTTGTAATCCTGGTATGTATTCGAAGCTCAGAACCACGTGGTCACTGGCACCGAGGTGTCTTTTATAAGTGATGTCCTCAATATCTGCACTACTCAAGGTACATACTAGGTCCAGTCTTGCTGGTTCATCCTCTCCTCTCCTCTTTCCCTCTGGTAGTGTGGTTTACGTATTGATACATGAGGTTTTCCAGTACCACCTCCGACATCATAGCCCTTCAAGTTTCTGGGCCCCCATGTAACTCCAGGTTCTCCCAGTCACTTTGTGATTTAAATCACCCACAATCAGCAGCTTTGCCCTGCTCGCATGAGCCCTTCTGGCCACTTCAGCCTGTGTGTGTGTGTGCGTGTGTGTGTGTGTGTGTGTGTGTGTGTGTGTGTGTGTGTGTGTGTGTGTGTGTGTGTGTGTGTGTGTGTATACTCACCTACATGTGATTACAGGGTCGCGTCTCAGTTTCTGGGTCCGTCCCTCTGCCGGCGGCTACTTGGTTCACTCGATCTTGGCTACATCAACGCTATCGTGCCTATTCTTAAAGTTATATATGGATCATGTGTATATAGGAGGGAGGGGAGGGGTTGTTTGTGAGCAAATATATGTGTGCGATTTCCTCTTCTTAATCACGCATTTACCGCTATAGTAGCAGAGCTGTACTAGTGGTGTCCAGTATTTACAGTTATGGTAGCAGAGCTGTACTAGTGGTGTCCAGTCTCTGAATATTTTATAAATTTGATAATTTTTCAAACTTCCACTGGTTATTACCAACTTATTTAATTCACTCAATTCTTCCACCATTCTGCTAATAAATTTTTGTCTAGTATACCTTCGACTCGACCTTTTTTCTCATATTGCAACTGTGTCCCCTTATTATCCTTCTTCCTGGTACTAATATTTTTTATTTATCCTTTTGTGTTGTTTTACGACCTTATATGTGAACACATGTCTTCTTCCTGCCTGTCTGGGAATCTCAATATTTCAGTTTTTTGCTATATGTAGCTCCTGGGTCATTTTGTAGTTTTTTTGGATCTTTTCTTACTCATCCACATGTTTTAGGCCTGGCACCACAGCCGCTGTTTATTCATATCTAGGCCTAATCATTGTAGAAAACAGTTTTTTTTTTTTTCATTTGTCCATCTTGAACGCAATTATTTTTATATCTTACAAGTGAACCACATAAGTTTCTTTCAATTTCGTTTATGAGGTTTCAGATTTTTTTTTAAGTAACTCGTTGATCAATATCTCTTTCTTATAATTTCAACATTTTATGACATAATCTTTATTCTTCATGTGGCCTTATTTCACTTTCTTTCCTTTCCATTACCTGGCATTTTTCTGTAATAAATTCCATTATCAATCTATCACTCTGCTTAATTCATCCAAGTCGTCTCGTTGAAATTTTCAGTCATTAATATTGTTCACGTGAGATTTTTATCATCCACATATACATTTTCTAGTCTTTCTAGTAAATTATTTACGTAAATTATAAAAGTATATTGGGGTAATTAGGTATCTTTCTGACATGTTCTGCTGAATATATTTTTCCTGTGAATATTTTTATTCCTCTCAGACAATAAGATATTAATTCACTGTAATAATTTTACTATATTTTGCGGTTTTCAAATTAGTTTTTATCGGGAATTCTGTCAAGAGAATTTTTATTATGCAGATAATTCTAATCAGTCAATTTATTCTCTTAACTATTCTCCAAGTTAATATACATCAACTTGGACAATGGAACTTAATTTGTGAGTATTAGTAGATTTTTGCTCTCCAAGTGATTTTTCACTTGTCTTTAATGGCTTTGTCCAATATTTTTACAACACTTGTCAGAGAAACGGCTTATTAAATGTTACATTTAATAATTTTTCTTCTTGTATTATAGACTTTCCGAAGTGGATAACATAATTATTCACAGCATTAAGAACACATGCTGTGTGTGTGTGTGTGTGTGTGTGTGTGTGTGTGTGTGTGTGTGTGTGTGTGTGTGTGTGTGTGTGTGTGTGTGTGTGTGTGGTGTGTACTTACTCACCTATTTGTGATTGCAGGGGTCGTGTCACAGCTAATGACCTTTCCTTTTCGTTCGCTGCTAGGTCGACTCTCTCCCTCGCAACATGGTCAAGATCATATGTTTAAGCCACATTATTCCTCCCCTTCACTCCACTTCCTGACCATCCTCAGGCTTACGAAGTGTTTCCTTACATCCTTGTGACTCAATGTCTTTAATTTCCAAATATGTCTTTCGTGGACTCGATTCTCATCCCTCGAAATGTGTACCCTTGTATGGCGTATTTAGTACACCTAGCATTTTGTATATCATCATGTCTCCTCTGCTTCTCCTATTCTCTAATGTTTTCAGGTTTAATTCTCTTTGTCTCTCCTATGAGATCAATCCTCTTAGCTCCGTCACTTTTCTTGCTGCAGCTAACATCAGTGTTACCAGTTTCTTGACCTGATTTATCAGATGAGGGATCTGAGATGGTGTTGCATGCTCCAAGACGAATTTGATACATGTTGTATATAGTGTTGTGAATAACTGACAAATCAGACACACGTGCAACATTTTGGTATATTGTGATGTTTCTCCACGCAGTAGCTTTATCAGTCCTGTACAAAGAATGGTGAAGATCAGAAGGAGTTTGGGGTAATCAGGTGAAGTGAAGCAGTCATTGGTGTCACCTTGGACAAATCCACAGGTGGAAGTAGGTCTAGGTTTAGGCAGGCACAGAATTTTCTGTTTCAATATCCCAAGATGATGCTGAGTCTGACAGAATGTAGATAAATGGTTCTCTAAACCTATAGGCATGACCTACTTCCACCTGTAGATTTGTCCAAGGTGACACCGTCTACGACTGCTTCACCTCACCTGTTCACAGTATATAAGCCACTTTGCGCATATGCCTATCCCTTTCTATCCTGTAAATTTCCATGAGAATTTTGTAAGTTGATATTATGTCTCCCTTGGTTCTTCTGTTTTCCAATATGGTTAAATTCCCTTAACCTCTCGTCCAAGCTGTGTGTCTGTGCGTATTTATTATACATGACCCTACAAGTCAGAGAGTACAGATATGGTCCTGCAGCATCGCAGCTTCAGAACTTGGCTATTGAACCTGGCTACTGGTGTTCAGTAGGTAGGAGAACTGTAGGAAGCTGCTTTGTGGAGAGGACCAGTAGAAGCCACATCCGTAATTCAATTTCCCGAACTTGCTGATGTGATTGACCATTGCTGACCACAACCTTAATAAGATTTCACGACCTAACTACAGAAAGTAAAAAAAAAGTTAGCCTCTCCAAAACTTTGGAAACTTGCCTTGGAAAGATGAAAGTTTACACCAGTAGAATAAAACTCCTGAGAGAGAGAGAGAGAGAGAGAGAGAGAGAGAGAGAGAGGAGAGAGAGAGAGAGAGAGAGAGAGAGAGAGAGAGCAGAATAGACCACGTACCACTTCAAGGTCTTCCGTTGAGATATGCAAACAACATTGAAACTACCTCTAATCCTCTAAAGGTATATAGCATTAATGCAAACCTGAGCTAAAGTCAGGAATCCGTTGACTATTGCTAATCCCAGCATAGCACCTAGCTAAATTCAATATTTTGCAAAGTACTTTTTCCCTTACCACTTATATAACTGCATTTTTTATTTTTTATTTTATTTTATTTTATTTTTTTTTTTTTTTGCATTCTTGGCTTTAGCGGGTAACACTCAATTGAACAATAATCTTTTTTTCCAAAAATCCCTTACCAACGTTTGTGTTGCATCTCCCGCCATAAACTTTTACTCTATTGATTCGAGTTATTAACTCACTTTCAATTCAAACAGTTCTTCGTGTTTGAATAAAAATCATTCACTATTATAAAGGACTGAGACGAGACTTCATAAACTGCGTTTCCTACCAGAGAAAACTCGTATAGATATTATTCTTTACATGGATTGTTTGCTAGTGGCAGTAAGAGCTTAGTTGTCTTTTTCTCTATATTCTCCAATCTATATTCATCCCCTGACGTGTGTACTAGCGCAGCATAATCAAAGTACGGTCTAACATACGTATTAAGATGAGTATTGAGCCTAGTGCTATGTACTGGAAGCTTGAATCTATGATAAATAGAATTCTATTTCTTTCCAATTTTCAAATATATTTGAAGAAATCTAGTTAATTTGTCAGGCATGAGTCTTTGCAAAAATTACATTGCCTATCGGTTACTAAGTTTCCTTCTAGAAAATTTACTCTCATGTCATTAATGAGAGAGAGAGAGATAGAGAGAGAGAAAGACTCTTATACAACAGACACCTGCAGATATGCTTACCAGCAAGAGCGGCGAGGCAACAGGCCAGAATAACGGTGTTGGTGGTGGTTTGGCTGAAGAACATCCCTGCACCATTGGTGTCGCCCATCCTTAGAGACACGTTGGTGCCAGCAGCTGTGATTCAACCCCTCTTCCACAAGAAGGTCAGCAACTCACTTCTCTAGCCAGTTGGCTGGCCTAGACACCGCTGGGTGACTGCGCTCGTCTCAGGAATCACTGCGCTACTCTCTTCAGTGGCTCCTGGCTTCTGTTCTCTTGTTTTGCTTCCAGTGTTTTTCAGCGTAACTGACACTTCGATTAACTATAATTTTCCGTAACACTTAGATCACCTATGTGGGAGAGGTTGAAGTGTTTGTCTCCCGAGCAGCGGACGGAGGATCGACCCTCCACTACTAATTCCTTTAAACGTCTCACTCAAACTTAAAGCCTCGCATAATTGATGATTCCCTGCTGTTTGTGGCAGTTATTGCAGTCACTTGTGACAGTCACTGCAGTCACTTGTGACAGTCACTGCAATCACTTGTGACAGTTACTGCAGTCACTACTGACAGTCACTGCAGTCACTTGTGACAGTTACTGCAGTCACTTGTGACAGTCACTGCAGTCACTTGTGACAGTCACTGCAGTCACTTGTGACAGTTACTGCAGTCACTTGTGACAGTCACTGCAGTCACTTGTGACAGTCACTGCAGTCACTTGTGACAGTTTACTGCAGTCACTTGTCACAGTCACTGCAGTCACTTGTGACAGTCACTGCAGTCACTTGTGACAGTTACTGCAGTCACTTGTGACAGTCACTGCAATCACTTGTGACAGTTACTGCAGTCACTTCTGACAGTCACTGCAGTCACTTGTGACAGTCACTGCAGTCACTTGTGACCGTCACTGCAGTCACTTGTGACAGTCACTTGTAGCAGTCACTGCACTTACTTGAGACAGTCACTGCAGTCACTTGTGACAGTTACTGCAGTCACTTGTAGGGGTCACTGTAGTACCTTGAAACAGTTACTGCAGTCACTTGTGACAGTTACTGCAGTCACCTATGACAGTTACTGCAGTCACCTGTGACAGTTACTGCAGTCACCTATGATAGTTACGGCAGTCACCTGTGACAGTTACTGCAGTCACCTGTGACAGTCACTGCAGTAACTTGTGACAGTCACTGCAGTCACTTGTGGCAATCACTGCAGTCACTTATGACAGTCACTGCAGTCATTGGAGTCACTTTTGATAGTCACTGCAGTCACTTGTAACAGTCACTGCAGTCACTTGTAACAGTCACTGCAGTCACTTGTGAGTCACTGCAGTCATTTGTGACAGTCACTGCAGTCACTTGTGACAGTCACTGCAGTCACTTGTGACAGTTGCTGCAGTCTCTTGTGACAGTACTGCAGTCACTTGTGACAGTCACTGCAGTCACTTGTGACAGTCACTGCAGTCACTTGAAGAGGGTCTCTCTGAACTTTGATTTTCATAAAAAAAATACATTTCTCTGTTTTTCTACTGTATACACTTCAGTGACAATAAAAACTTTTATCCAGTTACTTAAACACTGCTTAATAAAACTGAAGTTTTTGAGACAAACGGGATATAGAATGAATGCTGCAAAAAATAGAGTAAATACCGTTTAATCGTGAATCAGCAATCCCAGGCCATTTGGTCCATGTTGTAACAATTAACACAGTAGGTCAATAGGCTCTATACTTCATCAAGCATCAACACGCAGATCTCTAGGTTAGTTACTTCATTTAGAATCAGCAGTCTAGATATACAGGCTAGATATGTCATCTGCAAGAAACTTGTTAAGCTAACAAATTCTCTATGACTCGCGTGTATATATATATATATATATATATATATATATATATATATATATATATATATAATATATATATATATATATATATATATATATATATATAATATCGTGCCGAATAGGTAAAACTGGTCAATTAACAAGAACTCATTTAAAATTAAGTCTTTTCTAAAATTTTCTCTTATACGTTGAAAGATAATTTTCTCATTTACGTTAATGTAAAAATTAATAATTTTGTTCCAACAGAACCTTAGAAAACTTACCTAACCTTATTATAACAAGCATAATTTGATTAAGCCTAATCCAACTAAATATATTTTAGGTAAGTTTACCATAATTTAATAATAACCTTATACAAAGAAATATAGATAGGATGGGTAATGAGAACGTTCAAAACGAGAGATGCCAAGCAAATGATGATCCTTTTCAAATTACTTGTTCTCTTTAGGCTGGAATACTGCTGTACATTAACATCTCCATTCAAAGCAGGTGAAATTGCAGACCTAGAGAGTGTACAGAGATCCTTTACTGCACTTATAAGGTCTGTCAAGCACCTTAACTACTGGGAATGCTTGGAAGCACTTGACTTGTACTCGTTGGAACGCAGAAGGGAGAGATATATCCTAATCTACACTTGGAAAATCCTAGAAGAAATGGTCCCGAATCCGCACACAGAAATCACTCCCTACGAAAGTAAAAGACTGGGCAGGCGATGCAAAATACCCCCAATTAAAAGTAGGGGCACCACTGGTACACTAAGGTAAAACACCATCAGTTTCCGGGGCCCAAGACTGTTCAACAGCCTCCCACCAAGCATAAGGGGAATTACCAATGAACCCTTGGCTGCCTTCAAGAGAGAGCTGGACAGATACTTAAATTTAGTGCTGGATCAGCCGGGCTGTGGTTCGTACGTTGGACTACGTGCGGCCAGCAGTAGCAGCCTGATTGATCAGGTCCTGATCCACCGGGAGGCCTGGTCGTGGCCCGGGCAGCGCGGGCGTTGATCCCCGGAATAACCTCCTCGTAGACTCCAGATAGAATGATTTTTGAGAAATTATTGCATACACAATTTTTCTCTTGTCTTAATCGGCAAGAAGAGCGTTGCTATTTAAGCCAAGCAGCAAGTTATATATATATATATATATATATATATATATTATATATATATATATATATATATATATATATATATATATATATATATATATATCATTTTCCAAACTGCGGCAGGCCAGGATTCGACCCCATCACACATTGTCCCACCTCGAGATGCCACAAAATGTACATGTCACCCTACTATCTAAGCCATCGATCCTACAAACAACATGATCCTAGCGGACTAGGCTTGTTTCATGTTGCGAGAACAAGCGATGCAGATGTATGCTCAAAAATTAATTTCAGCCTCCTCCTATTTGAAAACCCGCTTCCACAAGCAGTCTAAAGAGCAATGACTGTCACAAGAGACTGTAACGACGGTCACAAGTGACTGCAGTGACTGTCACAAGTGACTGCAGTGACTGTCACAGGTGACTGCAGTGACTGTCACAAGTGACTGCAGTGACTGTCACAGGTGACTGCAGTGACTGTCACAAGTGACTGCAGTGACTGTCACAAGTGACTGCAGTGACTGTCACAGGTGACTGCAGTGACTGTCACAAGTGACTGCAGTGACTGTCACAGGTGACTGCAGTGACTGTCACAAGTGACTGCAGTGACTGTCAAAAGTGACTGCAGTGACTGTCACAAGTGACTGCAGTGACTGTCACAGGTGACTGCAGTGACTGTCACAAGTGACTGCAGTGACTGTCACAAGTGACTGCAGTGAGGGTCAAAAGTGACTGCAGTGACTCACAAGTGACTGCAGTGACTGTCACAAGCGACTGCAGTGACTGTCATAAGCGACTGAAGTGTCACAAGTGACTGCATTGACTGTCACAGGTGACTGCAGTGACTGTCACAAGTGAATGCAGTGACTGTCACAGGTGACTGCAGTGACTGTCACAAGTGACTGCAGTGACTGTCACAGGTGACTGCAGTGACTGTCACAAGTGACTGCAGTGGCTGTCACAAGTGACTGCAGTGAGGGTCACAAGTAACTGCAGTGACTCACAAGTGACTGCAATGACTGTCACAAGCGACTGCAGTGACTGTCATAAGTGACTGAAGTGATTGTCACAAGTGACTGCAGTGACTCACAAGTGACTGCAGTGACTGTCACAAGTGACTGCAGTGACTGTCACAAGTGACTGCAATGACTGTCACAAGTGACTGCAATGACTATCACAAGTGACTGCAGTGACTCACAAGTGACTGCAGTGACTGTCACAAGTGACTGCAGTGACTGTCACAAGTGACTGCAGTGACTGTCACAAGTGACTGCAATGACTATCACAAGTGACTGCAATGACTGTCACAAGTGACTGCAGTAACTATCACAAGTGACTGCAGTGACTGCAGTAACTGTCACAGTTACTGCAGTGACTGTCACAAGTGACTGCAGTAAGTGTCACAAGTGATTGCAGTGACTGTTACAAGTGACTGCAGTGTCACAAGTGACTGCAGTAACTGTGACAGTTACTGCAGTGACTGTTACAAGTGACTGCAGTGACGGTCACAAGTGACTGCAGTGACGGTCACAAGTGACTGCAATAATTGCCACAAACAGCACGAATTCACAAATTATGGAACAAAAACCACTTGTTTTGTGGTTTCATTGCTATATAGACTGCTTGTGGTGGCGGGTATTCAGGCAGGAAGAGACTGAAATTAATCTTTGAGCATACCACTGCCACGAGTGTTCTCGCAACATGAAACAAGCCTAGTTCGCTAGGCTAATGCTGTTTGTAGGGTCGATGGCGGAATGGATAAGGTGACATGTACGTCGTGTTGTCTCATGAGGCGGGACAATGCGTCGTTGGGTCGAACCCTGGCTTGCCGCAGTTTGGTAAATTATATATATATATATATATATATATATATATATATATATATATATATATATATATATATATATATATATATATATATATATATATATATATAGTGTGTGTGTGTGTATGTGTGTGTGTGTACTCTATGACTGCAGGGGTCGAGTCATACCTCCTGTGTGAGAGTGTGTGTTAGAGCGTGTGTAATTTCACTCAATCGTAAAAGACTAAAACCTGTGTAAAAAGCCCAGTGGATATCGTTGGTATTGAGTTGACGTCACCAGTTCGATCCCTAGAAATAATTATACATTCCTAAATTTATATGCTCAATTGATGAACATTAATTTCTATGAATAACATACTTTGTTATTCATGTGAACTTTCAAGAGTTTCCAGAAAGTCGAATTTCGTGTAAATTCATATTATGTAGACTGTAACAATTCTTGGTTAAATACAAAACAACTTGTTCACGATTCTGTACCCAGTATCAAAACACCAGGTCCTGAATATATACACAATACCTAGTTTTTTCTATATACATAGTATACATAGTTCTTGAGTATGAACACAATAACGACTTATGGTTTTATACACAATACCTAATAAATGGCTATGTACGGGATACCTAATAAATGACTATGTACGGGGTACTTAATAAATGGCTATGTTCGGGATACCTAATAAATGGCTCTGTACGGGATACCTAATAAATGGCTATGTACGGGATACCTAATAAATGGCTATGTACGCCATTTAATAAATGGCAATGTACGCTATACCTAATTCTTGACTGCATACACAATTCCTAACCCTTGACTGTGTACAAAATGACTATCTTAATAACAGAGAATGTCCGATAACGTTAAGACGAACAATAGTTGGAGCGTGGATCGGCGAGAGCCCAGGAGGTCTGTAGTCATTCAGCATTTAGCCAGGGAGGAAGTGGATAACAAGCTCTCCTGTTAACTGAGCTCAGCTTAGCATGGCCAATCAGCCGGCTGAACCAGCCGAACAGTGACCCAGGGATAAGTTTACAGTTGCACTAGTGTTTACTTTTATTCCTTAATTTGCGTTAAGTACATAATTCGCGTGAAACAAAATAATACCAGTACTGTATTATTCGCTTTCAAACTGATACACTCGTCAGCGTATTTTTAATTTCTACTGGACACGCTGTTGACGTGAGGTAGGAATATGCAATTCATGTATTTTTGTGTGTCTGCGTGTGTGTTTATATATAAAGCAGAGGAAGCCAAGTAGGATATAACTACCATTCTTTTTTAAAGTGTCAGGAGTGCTACTAATAGAATACAGATATTATAGGAGACACAACAGAGATTTTTGTTAGTTTCTCTTGGGGAATAGAAATGGCCAGCAAGGAGAACGGTCAGAGAGAGTTGTACAAGAAGCCAGCAAGAGATGGCAGCGAGGAAAGAAAGTCCTAGGATAACAGAACTTGGTTCTTGGAATGGGATTGGTTTGAATGTAAATTGATGTATTTCTCTAAATTGTGATATTTTCTTAATGCTATTATTCCTATTACCTATAATAGAATTATTGATCCTATTATTATTACTACTACTACTACTGCTACTATTGTTGCTACTACTATTAATACTAACACTAATACTTTTATTAATAAAACTGGTATTAAGTCATTGCAAAGTAATCAATTATTTTTTTATTTTTCTTTAAAGATTGAGCTTCGTCAAGTTTACAGAAAAAAAATTACTTAAATATACATTATGATGCAGTGCAGACAGGGAAGGCCAAGCCGGAAGTCATATCTTTTGTAGAGGACAATCTCCGTCAAGTAAACTGAAGCCCTGAGCTAAAGTTCGAGGTTTGCCACCTGATTCCAGAAAGCTAAATTAGACATTTAATTAATTATGTGGAAACAGACACGGCGACTTCGTGAAAGATTATGAAAAGAGATCCATACAAAGCACTCAGTAAATCGAACTCATCCTACATCTCTCAGGAAGTTGAAAACTCAGCCAACAGAAGTGAAACGATGGCTTTTCTGAACAATAACAACA